TTTTTCTAAAAATGTTATATGTCAAAATTTAAATAAACTAATTTTTAAAAAATAATAAATAATTGGTGTTGTTACAAATTGTAACGACTGTATTTATTTATTTTTATAAAAAAAAACTATACGATATTCAAAAATAATTAAATAAATTAAATTTTTTTAAAATATTATACACTAAAATTTTAAATAAATTATTTTATAAAAAATAATTAATTGGTGTCGCTATAACAACTTCATAAAATTACTTTTTTTAAATTTTCAAAAGTCGTTGTGTATCGTTAGTGCCTACGACTTTAATTGAAGCACTACCGGCTATCATGACTTTTATACCATGACTTTCATGACTTTAAAAAAAAAAAATACACGCGGTACTAGTATGCCATTACCCAAAGCCACACTGTAATAAACTGCTCTAATAATAATTACCCTTGTTTCACCATTTATGTAATGCAATTGGCTTAGGGGGTTCTATTTTATGCAGGTGTTGTGAAATTTGATCCCAAGTCAGGGAAGCAGTTGAAATCCAAAATTATTACGCGGTCTTACACGCAGTATTTTGCCGAGTCTTTGACAGCAGAGGCAGAAGTTGATGAGAAAATTGTTGCCATACATGCTGCAATGGGAGGGGGTACCGGGCTTAACTTGTTTCAACAGCGCTTCCCCGAAAGATGTTTTGATGTTGGGATAGCAGAACAACATGCCGTAACCTTTGCTGCTGGCCTAGCTGCTGAAGGCCTTAAACCCTTTTGCGCAATTTACTCTTCCTTTCTACAAAGAGGTTATGATCAGGTCAGAAGTTATGAAACTACAGAGATTTAGAATCTGTTTAGATTGTTTAGATATGTAAGTTTAAAGTGCTTTAAAGAGTTTCACTACTGAAAAAACCCTTTATTTTCAGTAAATAAACTTTTAAAGACCCTTCTAAACTTATATAAGACAGATTCTTAATCAAAACTAGGGTTTTCTTCTCTTTGCTTCTTTGCATGTTGGAAATTATTAGTGGAATCTCCCCTTAACTTTGTGATTGTGAATGTGGTGCATGATGCAGGTAGCACATGATGTTGACCTTCAAAAGCTTCCGGTTAGATTTGCGTTAGACAGAGCAGGCCTAGTTGGTGCTGATGGCCCAACTCACTGTGGAGCCTTTGACACAACATTCATGGCTTGTTTGCCAAACATGGTGGTTATGGCTCCATCAGATGAGACTGAATTGATGCACATGGTAGCCACTGCTGCAGCCATAGATGACAGGCCTAGCTGCTTTAGGTACCCAAGAGGGAATGGTATAGGTTCCATTCTTCCACCTTACAATAAGGGCATGCCACTAGAGGTGCTTATTTCAACTATAATCCTCTTAGATTTCAAAAATTTTCTTCAAAGATGCTTACATTTTTCTAAATGCAATTGAAATATAGGTCGGTAAAGGAAGGGTATTAAAGGAAGGAAGTAGGGTGGCTCTTGTTGGTTATGGGACAATGGTCCAAAGTTGTATGGAAGCGGCTAAGGTTCTTGAAGCTCATGGCATCTCAACAACTGTGGCTGATGCACGATTTTGTAAGCCTCTAGATGGTGATCTAATGAGGAGACTCGCAAGAGAGCATGAGATTCTTATCACAGTTGAAGAGGGATCCATTGGAGGATTTGGTTCTCATGTTTCTCATTTTCTAGGATTGAATGGTCTTCTTGATGGTAATCTTAAGGTGAGACTTTTTTGGTTACCCTTCTTTATATGTAGATGGATTAATCGTGTATAGTGTATTAAACTATAGTTTCATTTGATGCAGTGGCGAGCCTTGACATTGCCTGACAGATACATAAACCATGGATCTCAGACAGATCAAATTGAAATGGCAGGGCTGAGTTCACACCATATTGCAGCTACTGCTTTGTCATTAACGAATGTGCATTTGGATAGTCGTCTACTTCTCAGCCTACAGATATGAATCGTAACACAAATTGTGAGCATGTAATACATGTACATAAGTTGTAATTATATCACCTAAAGTATGGCAATAAAGTAATTAAAATGCTTCGGGTGTAAATAAAGTTCTTCATCCTTTATCATTGGGGAGTTTTTGATAATTAACCAGGTACTTAAGGAGGGAAGCAAAAAGTAAAAGTGAGGTGGGGAACAATAGTCGTTCTATTTAAAATATATTTTGTATAATTATGATAAGAAGTTTCATTTATGAGATATCCACAGCAAGTTGTTGTGAGTGACTCAAGCATGTAAATGTTCTCTCACAGTCGTTAAGAGTTCCATTATCCTCTATCAACTTGTCTAGTTAAGAGTTTTTCCATTATTCCATATCAACTTGATTAACAGCGGATCAGCTTGGAAATACAACAAAATATAAGTCGCATGAGACAGATATATAGATACAACGCTAACAAAGACTTGGGAGGGTTTAGAAGAACACTATGAATTGTGTGGATTGGCTTACTAATTGGAGCTTCAATCATAACTATGGAGTGAAAAAAAAATTGGGAAACTTCTCCAAATAAATAACACTTTTTTTTTGGATGTTAAAGGAAATAAAAATTAATAAATAATAAATAAAGATAAATAAATAAAAATTATGTTATTTGAATGGATAATAGTATGAAAAAATATTAAATTTATGTTCACCTTTACTTTACAACACAATTTTGCCCTTAAAGATAGAAAAATATAAGGACAAAATTAAGGATGATTGTGAATAATCATTCTTAATCACGTAAATGAAGAAGAGGAATTCTTAACATGATTCCATTATAAAAAATTTCTCTGCATTTGAAATCGCTACCATCCAAACCAAAAAAGACTATTTTTTTATTTTTTGGGTGTTGAGGTAAGGGGGATGGGAATGTGGGTTTTTCGGAAATCGGAATGGGGAAATGGAATTCCAAACCTAATGCATACATTCATGTAGTTGTAGACAGTAGCTTCAACACCAAATGACTATCGAGAACCGAATTAGCGAAAGACATTTATTTTATTTACATTCTTTATTTATATATATATATATATATATATATATATA